GGTGTGCATGGGGGGCAGCACTGTAGAGGATCATTGAGTTATGCCAAGGCCGTGAAGTGTGAACATTTTGGGGTGGCAGCGCTTTGGGCAGCATCTGACCCCAGAGCTCACGTGGCTGTGCTGCTCAGGGCAGATGTCTCCAGGTGAAGGCTGGGGGCTGCGGCTGGGAAGGTCTGTCCCATCTGCCCCAGGCCAACAGGTTTGGGATCTCTTTAGCCTGTGGGCACACGGAGGGTTATCAAGCAAGTAGGTAACCAGCCTGCTCCAGGCTGTGGGGGTCAGGCTTTTGGCTCCTCCAGGCAGGAAGTGCCTTTGGAATTCCTGGCAAGTGCTATAGAAGTCGGAGCTGGGCTTGTGCTGGAGGAGGGGAGAGGAACATGGACTGCGGTGTGTTCTGGAGGCCTCGTGACCGGAGATGGAGATGAGTGGGTTCAGGAGCAGGGGAGCAGGAGGCCTCAAACCATGCAGGGTTCAGGGTGGTGTCCTGCGATGCCCCAGGTGTCTCCTGGAGCTGTGCACAGTGAGACAGGAAACGCAGGTAGACAGGAGACCACCCGTGGCGCCCCACCAGTGGGGTCCTCCACCTAGGCTGCTGTCTGGAAAGAGCATGCTTGGGGAATGCCCTATGTGGAGGTGGGGGAGGGGTCCATCAACAGTGCCCTGAGCAGGTCCCCCCAGGGCGGACAGGTGGCCTCTCCCCAGGGCTCAGGCCGCGCTGCTCTGCCCACAGGTTACCACTACAACGACCTGGTGTCCCCACAGTACCTGCACCTCATCGCCAACCTCTCGGGCTGCACCGCCCACCGGCGTGTGAACAACTGCTCGGACATGTGCTTCCACCAGCGGTACCGCGCTCACGATGGTACGTGCAACAACCTGCAGAGGCCCATGTGGGGCGCCTCGCTGACAGCCTTCGAGCGCCTGCTGAAGTCAGTGTATGAGAATGGATTCAATACGCCCCGCGGCATCAACCCCCACCGGCTGTACAACGGCCACGCGCTCCCTGCGCCCCGCTTGGTGTCCACCACGCTAATCGGGACAGAGGCTGTGACACCAGACGAGCAGTTCACACACATGCTGATGCAGTGGGGCCAGTTCCTGGACCACGACCTGGACTCCACGGTGGTGGCCCTGAGCCAGGCCCGCTTCTCCGATGGGCAGCACTGCAGCTCCGCCTGCAGCAGCGACCCGCCCTGCTTCTCTGTCCTGATCCCGCCCAACGACCCCCGTGCCAGGAGCGGCGCCCGCTGCATGTTCTTCGTGCGCTCCAGCCCCGTGTGCGGCAGCGGCATGACGTCACTGCTCATGAACTCCGTGTACCCGCGGGAGCAGATAAACCAGCTCACGTCCTACATCGACGCGTCCAACGTGTACGGGAGCACGGAGCACGAGGCGCGGGGCATCCGGGACCTGGCCAGCCACCGGGGCCTGCTGAGGCAGGGCATCGTGCAGCGGTCCGGGAAGCCGCTGCTGCCCTTCGCCGCGGGGCCGCCCACCGAGTGCATGCGGGACGAGAGCGAGAGCCCCATCCCCTGCTTCCTGGCCGGCGACCACCGCGCCAACGAGCAGCTGGGCCTGACCAGCATGCACACGCTGTGGTTCCGGGAGCACAACCGCATCGCCGCGGAGCTGCTCCGCCTGAACCCGCACTGGGACGGCGACACCATCTACCATGAGGCCAGGAAGCTGGTGGGCGCCCAGATGCAGCACATCACCTACCAGCACTGGCTGCCCAAGGTGCTGGGCGAGGTGGGCATGAAGATGCTGGGGGAGTACAGGGGCTATGACCCCGGCGTCAACGCTGGCATCTTCAACGCCTTTGCCACTGCTGCCTTCCGGTTTGGCCACACGCTGGTCAACCCGGTGCTTTACCGGCTGGACGAGAATTTCCAGCCCATCGCACAAGGCCACTTGCCCCTGCACAAAGCCTTCTTCTCTCCCTTCCGGATTGTGAACGAGGGGGGCATCGACCCTCTTCTCCGGGGGCTGTTCGGGGTGGCGGGGAAGATGCGTGTGCCCTCCCAGCTGCTGAACATGGAGCTCACGGAGCGGCTGTTCTCTATGGCCCACACGGTGGCCCTGGACCTGGCAGCCATCAACATCCAGCGGGGCCGCGACCACGGAATCCCGCCCTACCACGACTACAGGGTCTACTGCAACCTGTCGGCGGCACACACCTTCGAGGATCTAAAAAATGAGATCAAAAACCCCGAGATCCGGGAGAAGCTGAAAAGGTGAGTTTATGTGCAGAAGCTGAAAAGGTAAGCTTATGTGCGTGTCTCCAGCAAGACCCACAGGGGAGGGGTGGAGCCCTGCTGTGTGCCTGCTGGGTGGTGTCAGGAAGAGACTCCACCAAGGAAGTGTGTGAGGGTCCAGCCCCCGACAGCCTGCAGGGAGGGGATAGTTCAGGAGTGGCTGCAATCACTTCCCCCAGTCTTATGTTGAGTCCCAGAAATGAGCTTTGTCAGGCTGAGGTTTTCAGTGCAGAGATGAGGTGTATTTCTCTGTCTGGGGCTAGACTGTGGAGTTTGCACAGAGACACACTGGACCCGAGACCCTGGCTGGCCATGGCTTCAGGGAGGAGGGTCCTGTACTCTCCTCAGAGCAGGGAGCAGAGCAGAGTGTGGCCTTGGCAGAGGGTCCTGGGATCTTGGGGCTTGTAGCCTCTTCCCCATGGACCATGTCATGTGGGCAGCCTTGTGGGTGGCCTGTTAATGGTGTAGGCTTCAGGGCACAGCTCTGCCGTGTTCCGGGAGCAGCTCTCGCCAGCTCTGTGCACCAGGCTCCTCAGACCAACCAGGCAGGCAAATGGCCATGTTTCCCAGGTCAAGCAGGTGCCCAGGTTCCAGGTCAGGCTCAGGCTCCCTGACCCAGGGCCCTTCCCTGTTCTGGGGGCTCTGCCACGGTGGGTAACTCTGAATAAGGAGTTAAATGTCGAAAGTTCTCTGAAAGTGTGGGCATTCAACAGCTCTCCTTTTGCCAGAGTTCACGTCTGTCCTTTGCTTATTAATGTCTTTTCTTATGTTACTTCCACCGATTTAGTTCCACTCAGTATCTTAAGTAAAAGCAGCCAGTGATGCTTTCTCAGTGTGGCCTTCCATAGTCCTTTGGACTGAAGAATTTGGCCTGTAGGTCTTTGTGTATTTACGATATTCTAATTCCCATTTGAAAGAATTCTTTTTAAAAATTCTTAAGGCTCATTTCCCACATTGTCTGGTCTCCAGTTTGCTCTTAAGTTACTTGACACTGAAGTTAAGACATAGACCCTTTCAAGATCTACCTTGGACCTTCTAAAGAAAAATGACTTTTTTGGGGGGCAGTGCATGTGGCTCAAAGAAGTAGGGC